TTGGATAAGTTGGCATGTGTTACAGCAAGTCTTAGTATTGTGAATCATATCTGTAATTGTAGGAAGTGTCTGTATTGTCCAGCAATTCTATGCACAGGGAGGTCAGTGTTGGTGTTGTGGAGCAAGAAACTGTTGTGTGGGATTAGTTGTTATGTTGTAGGAAGGATTTGTATATGTAGAGTTATGTCCATATACTGTGGCTCCTATTTGGGTGTTCTGGAATTAGTCTGGGTTCTGGGGGCCATTCTAGGTGTGGTATAATGAATCTCTATGTTTCAGATGAGTCTCAGTGTTAAGTGACAAGGCTAGTTGAAGGGGGGTATTTCTATGCCTTCTTGAGTCTATGTGTATTTTCGAGCATTTCTTCTGATATTAAGCTAAGTTTTGAAGAGACAAGGAAGTGTTTTATGGAGACCGTTTGTGTGTTAAAGGTAGAGTCTGTGTAGTTCCATGTGTGGTAACGCATGTCCATGCATTGTGGTTCTATCCATGCATTGTGGAGCATGTCCATGGGTTAGACTAATCTGGGATTTGAATCTTTTTTTTTTTTTTTTTTGAGATGGAGTCTCGCTCCGTCACCCAGGCTGGAGTGCAATGGTGCAGTCTCGGCTCACTGCAACCTCCACCTCCCAGGTTCAAGTGATTCTCCTGCCTCAGCCTCTTGAGTAGCTGCGATTACAGGTGCCTGCCACCATGCCCGGCTAATTTTTGTATTTTTAGTAGAGTCGGGGTTTTGCCATGTTGGCCAGGCTGGTCTCGAACTCCTAACCTCGTGATCTGCCCACCTCAGCCTCCCAAAGTGCTGGGATTACAGGCATGAGCCACCACACCTGGCCTGGGATGTGAGTCTTTAAGATGTAAAATGGATGTGGGTGTTTCCAGGCGAGTCTAGGTCTTGTCCAGGAAGGCTGTGTGTTGCAGAACATATCTGCATACTGTGTTTCTCTGTATGTGGACCATCCTTTGTGGGATGTGCTGCTGTGAGGGAAGTTGTAGCAGGAAGAGGCTATTTTGTGTGGCCAGTCTGTGTGTTAAAGGGAGAGACTGAGGCCAGGCGCAGTGGCTCATGCCCGTAATCCCAGCACTTTGCGAGGCCGAGACAGGTGGATCACCTGAGGTCACGAGTTCGAGATCAGCCTGGACAAAATGAAACCTAGTCTCTACTAAAAATACAAAAATTAGCTGGGCATGGTGGTGCACACCTGTAGTCCCAGCTGCTAGGGAGGCTGCAGCAGGAGAATCGCTAGAACCTGAAAGGTGGAGGTTGCAGTGATTCAAGATCGCGCCATTACACCCCAGCTTGGGCAACAGAGCAAGACTCCGTCTCAAAAAAAAAAAAAAAAGGAGTGACTGTTTATCGGGTATTGCCATGTGTTTTGGGTCAAGTCTAGGTGATATGGGGTGTGTCAGTGTGTTGTAGAGCAAGTCTGTGTGTGATGGAGTATATATGTGCATGTTGAAATATTTTAATTTGTGTTGTCAAACAAGTTTGTATTTTACGAAGCACATCTTAGTGTTGTATAGGCAAGACAGCATTTTGCTGGACCAGCATTTATGTCATGGGGATAATGTATGTGTTATGGGGCATGTCCTGGTTTCTTGTCTGTTAATTGTAGTCACGTTTATCTGGTGAGATGCTGTTCTGCATATTGGAGAAGTCTATGGCTTGTGGATTGTTTCTAGAGATTTTGAAGTGAGTTCCTTGTGTTGCGGAGCCAACGTGGTGTTCTGGGGTGAGTATGTGTATTGGAGGGCATGTATGTGTGTGATAGCGTGCATTTGCTTAAACTGAGATGACTCTTTGTATGAATGAGTTTTTGTTTCATGGGTATGTTGTGCACTGTAGTGTGTCTAAGTGTTGTGTGACAAGTCTAGGTGTTACGCAGAAACTCTATACGATAGATGCTTCTGGGCATTACAGAATAGGTGCAGTCAGGCTGGGCGTGGTGGCTCATGCCTGTAATCTCAGCACTTTGGGAGACAGAGATGGGTGGATCACCTGAGGTCAAGAGTTCGAGACCAGTCTGGCCAACATGGCGAAACCCCATCTCTACTAAAAGTACAAAAATTAGCCGCGTGTGGTGGTGGGCCCGTAATCCCAGCTAGTCGGGAGGCTGAGGCAAGAGAATTGCTTGAACCCAGAAGGTGGAGGTTGCAGTGAGCTGAAATCACACCACTGCACTCCAACCTGGGCGACAAGAGCAGACTCCATCTGGAAAAAAAAAAAAAAAAAAAAATAGGTGCACTCAGTATGGGTGTTATAGGAAAAGAGTGGTGAGAGTATTCATTGTGATGCGATTCTGTGCTTTCTGAGGGATATTCGATGCATTGTGGGTTGATTCGAGTTGTTTTAGATTGAGTCTTACCTTTATGCTCCAGTTCCGTGTGGAGTAACAATGACAACCTGATCAGCTAACACCAGTAACGCTAACTCTTTACAAAGCATTGCTCTAAACACTTTATAGGCATTAACTCATTTATTCCTCTTTTTTTTCCCCCTTTGAGACGGAGTTTCACTCTTGTTGCCCAAGCTGGAGTGCAATGGCATGATCTCAGCTCACCGAAACCTCTGCCTCCCTGGTTCAAGCGATTCTCCTGCCTCGGCCTCCTGAGTAGCTGGGATTACAGGCATGCGCCACCACGCCCAACTAATTTTGTATTTTTAGTAGAGACGGGGTTTCTCCATGTTGCTCAGGCTGGTCTCGAACTCCCGACCTCAGGTAATCCGCCCGTCTCGGCCTCCCAAAGTGCTGGGATTATAGGTGTGAGCCACCACACCCAGCCCATTTATTCCTCTTAACAGCTATAAGAGATACGTACCCCTATTACATAATTATTCCTAACAAATAGCTGAGAAAACTAGGGCACAGAGAGTTCCAGAAACCTTTCCAAGGTCACACAACTAGTAAGTGATGCATGTGGGATTGTAACTCAGGCAGTCTGAGACCTGAGTATAAGCTTTTAACCATTGTAGAGCAAGTTTTGTATCACGTGGGTTGAGACTAGATGAGTTGAGGCTAGTCTTTGTCTTGTGCCAATCTGGGCACTGTGTGGTAGGTTTTAGCATTGTGGGCATGGGTTTGCTTTGTGGAGTCTGCGTGTTTTCGTGCAAGTCTGCATGTTATGGGATGAGTTTGTGTGTCTGTTGTGATGTGACACTGTGCATTTAGGCTGGTTTTCTGTTTAGGGGGATATCTCTGCATGGTAGGACTTATCTAGGTATTACAGAGCAAATCTGTGTAGTGTGGGGCCTGGTCATATGTGTGATAGTGTTCGGCAAGTCAGATTTACGGGCAACTTAGGCGATGTGGGGCATGTAGTTCTTTATGAGACAAGCATGAGATAAGTGTAAAATGTGTTGTGGCCGGGCATGGTGGCTCCCGCCTGTAATCCCAGCACTTTGGGAGGTTGAGGTGGGCAGATCACCTGAGGTCAGGAGATCAAGACTATTCGGGCCAACATGGTGAAACCCCATCTCTACTAAAAATATAAAAAATTAGCCAGGCGTGGACATGCCTGTAGTCCCAGCTACTCGGGAGGCTGAGGCAGGAGAACTGATTGAACCTGGGAGGCAGAGGCTGCAGTGAGCCGAGATTGCGCCACTGCACTCCAGCCTGGGCGACAGAGTGAGTCGCTGTCTCAAAAACAAAAACATAAACAAAAACAAAACAACAACAACAAAAAAGTGTTGTGGAATGGGGGCTCTGTATTATCATGTGATGCTGCCAATTTTAGGAGCATGTATTTTGGAACGTTTGTGAAGAACAGGGGTATCCACATGTGAAACAAAAATATGTGTGTGATAAGGTGTGTTTGTGTGATGTAGGGCATATCTATGAGGTTAGGGTGTGTGTGTGTGTGTGTGTTGCGGGCCTGTGCCTTGTGGGGCAAGGCTGGGTACAACACACAGCCTGGCTTCCAGTCTGGGTATTGTGGGATGTGTTATACAGCAAGCCTGTGCACAAAGTTCTTACTTGTGATGCAATTCTGTGTGTTGTGAGTGATGTCTTGTTAGGGTTCCGGTCTGTAGGGTAAGTGGGTACTATGGCGGGGTGTCTGTGTCTGTGGAGTGTTTCAAGATGTTCTAGAGCTAATCTATATACTATATGGTGAGCCTTCGTGTTGTCAGATGATTCTAGATATCTGGGGTAGGCCTTTTTTTGTTTTGGTAGTAATGACAGTGATGGCTGTAATATAAATTAACAATTCTAATTGTCAGTATGTGCCAGGCAATGTACTAAGCACTTAACAAATCTTAATGTATTTATTATTCACAACAACTCTCTGAAGTAGGCACTACTGTTATCTTTGTTTTACAGTTGCATAAACTAAAGAACAAAGAAATATACTTACCCGAGGTGATACAATCAGCAAGGGATGGGACCTCGATTCAAACCCAGTTAGTATGGATCTAGAGGCCTTGCTGGTAACTATTACACAAGCTGTATTTCTGTTGTCGTAGGCCAGAGTTGTAGCTCAACAGCATGGAAAAGCACATCTGTCCACCATGATGGAAATCTTTACATTGGAGGGGCAATATGTGTGTTGTATGTCTACCGACTGGGAAATGTTTATGTGCACCGCCGGTTTTGCACTGTGGAGTTAAGTCTGTGTTATGATGCAATTCTATGCATTGTGGAAGCAATCTATGCGTTTACACACATCACTGTGAATCATAAGGCACATCTAAGTGTGACGGATATGATTCAGTATGTTACAGAGTAAGTCTGTGGTATGTTACAGAGTAAGTCTGTGCCCCGAAGGGATTGTGTGTACACTTAGGGTGAGTCTCAGTGCTCGACGGTGTTTGCGTGAGTTGTGAGGCAAGTATTTATATTGATGGGTGAATCTGTGCATTTTGGTGAATCTCTGTGCATGGCTGGGCATCTCCTGTTTTGTAGGCAGCAGCTTGTGCTACTTTGTAATCCCAAGGTGCTGGGATTACAGGCGTGAGTCACCACGCCTGGCTGGAGCAAGTATTTGTATTGTGTGGTGAGTGTGTCTTTTGTGACAGGAATCTGTGCACTGTAGGACAAGTTTGTGTGCTGTGGCCCAATCCTGTGCATCAAGGAGTGATAGATGTTGTAAGACGTACTGTCGCATGTCTTTGTGGTGGGGTAAACTTGTCTGAAAGCTATAGGGGGAGTCTCTGTAGTATGGGTTTAGTCTGTGCTTTGTGGGGTGATTCTACGTGCTCTAGGGAGTGTCTGTGTAGTGCTGGGCAAGTCTGTGTCCTGATGTGATGGTCTGTGGCCTGTGGTGCTTGTCTGTACACAATGGGGTGAGTCTGTCTGTTGTGGGAGAGTCTACGTTGCGATGCGGGTCTTCAAGCTGTCTCATGAGTCTGTTCTCGGGAAAGTCTGTTTTTTGGCAAGAGTCCCTGTGCTCTAAGATGAGTCTAGGATCTGCGGTGAGAGTGTGTGATCTCAGGGGTGTCTGTGTGCCCCGGGGAGAGTCTGTTTCCTGTGGGAAGAAGCTGTATACTCTGGAGAAAGTCTATGTGCTCTGGGGTGAGGTGACTGGCCTTGAGAGTATGTGTGCTTGTCGGGGAAGCCATATTCTATGGGGTAAGTCTGCATGCTGTGTGTTTCCTAGAAAGGGTTCGTGTGATGTGGGAACAGTGCATGATGCTGGGATTGTCCGTGTGTCATAGTAGAGTCCTTACGTGGGGGGGGCAAGTCTGTGTCACGCGGGGTGCGTCAGTGTGCCTTAGGTGAGTGTCTGCATGAAGGAGTACATATGTGCCTCTGGGAGAGTCTAATGATACGGGGAGTGGGGTGTCCGTGTGTTCTGGGGAAAATCTTTCTGCTGTGGTGCTTGTCGGTGTGCCCTTGGATATGTCTGTGTACTGGAAGACAAGTGTGTGTACTGTGGAAAGAGTCTGTGTGCTGTGGGAGTAAATGTGTGTTTGTGTTATCCGGCCAGTGTGCGCACTAAAGGATGAGTTTGTACACTGCGGATACAAGTCTGCTTCCAGGCAAGTCTCCCTTAGTATCTACAAATAATAATAGACAACACTTACATAATGGTTACTACGTGCCAGGCGCTGTTCTAAACATGCTGTTAGCATCCCCGTTTTACATCTGAGGAACCCGAGAGATTTAAGTTACCGTCCCACAGTCATGCAGCGAGCAAGCAGCCGAGGCTTGAAACCAGGCAGTCTGTTTCCTGTTCTCATACTATTATGATTCCCCTCGGGGCCCTGAGGGCATCGGTGGCCTCAAACCTTAAAAAGTCACTGGTGAGCATATAGAGAGCAGTTAATTTGGGAGGAAAGAAAAGGAGCGGCTAAAAGCCTTCCAAGCTTTATAAAAAAAAAAAAAAAAAAAATGCTCCATATACAATAACGATGGCAGCTTAACTCAGAAAAACTGACGTCATGTCTGCCAAATAACTCCAGCCACTGCGGCCCTCAGGACCCCTCCCCTGGCCTCACAGCCGCATTCTGCTACTGCAGTGGAGCAAATGCGCATGCCCTGGCGAGCTGCCATTGCCAGGGAAACCAACCTCCTCATAAACAAAACACAGTCTAATGCGGCAAGTCAGGAAACTACTGGGACTGAGGCTGTCAGCCAAAGGAGCCCCTTGCAATAACCGCGGGCAAGGCAGCCTCCCACTCACGCGCCCCCGCCCCGCCCCGCCCTTTTTTTTTCTTCCAGAATTAGTAAAGCTAGAGGCCCGGAGCAGAAGTCAACAGAGAAAGAAAGCTTCGTTGGGGGCCCAGGAGAAGGTTGGTAATAGGCAGCAAGTGATTTTAATTGTCAGATCTCTCTGGGCAATATTTAACCCATCTCCTACTAAAAAACTCCTTGCTTTATGTCTTGAGCCTTACACCTGCAGTGAAAAGACATGGCCCACTGGGGTGTGTCCCTGTCTAGGAGAGGTAATGGCAGTGGTGGCATGGATTAGGACTCACCCTAGCTCCTTTAAAAACCCTACGTGAAACTGCGACCAGCAACAGGCTGGCAAACATTATTTACTTCTACTCCTCATACATTTCTTGTATTTCCCTCTTATATCATTCTAGAAAATTCCAGGAACTGAGTGGAGGCAAGTTTAACTCACTGAGTATCTGAAGAGTAAAAAAAAGAGGTTGAAGGAGGAACTTTAACCCCGGGGGCATTTTTTTTTAACACACAATTGGGATATCAGGTGTGCCCAAGAGGAATAGCACACCTGAAACCGTGGTTTCCTGTATTTGGATTCCTTAATTTTAATTTGCAACAAGAATGTGACAAACAGTAACATAGTTAAAATGAAAAAAAATCCTGCTTAAAATACTGCCCTAATCTGCATGTGCCTAGGCTTTTTGAAAGGCACATGCACAAACATGGTGCTCTAGTATGCTGTCAGAAGCTGCAGGAAGGTAGGAGCACTATTGCGAAATGTAACCATCTTGGGTAAAGAGAAAATGGCCGACCTGTGGAAAGCTACACCCTATCTAATGGAAAAACAGTTGTTGCGTTGGATTATTCAATAAGTGATGCTGAAACAATCGGTGACCTATTAGGGGGAAAAAAAATTTAATCCTACTGTATACCATATATCAAAATGAATTCTAGGTGGATTAAAGAGTTAATTGTAAAAAAATGAAGCAATTAAATAACTAGAAAAAATACAGGTGAATACACTAATCAAAGGAAAGAAAAAATCACAACATTTAAAATGGTCAGATATGGAAATCTAACATGTAAAACTGTAAAATATCAAAAAAATCACCACCATAAATGGTAAAAATTAATAGGAAAACAATGGCTGGAAAATAATGTTTATGCCACATATAATAAATGAATTAGATGATAGGTGTTGGGAGGAAGAAACCTCAAACTGATTCATACCATTTGATCCAGGAATTCCATGTCTATGAATTTTTCCTAGGGAGAAAAAACCAGAAAAGCACATAGAGATTTATATGGAAAGATATTCCTTCAGTTATTTATAACAGCAAAAATAATGTACATATAAACATTCAATAATCAGACATTTAGTGGGACATCTATATGATAGAAAATTACACATCCACAAAACATCACATTCTTGTGAAATATTTTAAAATATGGGGAATTGCTCCCAATATATATTTAATGGATAAAACAGGCTAAAAATTGTATGTACATGTGATCTTCATTTTTATAAAATATATATTTCTATGCATTTATTTGCATATATTCAGAGAAAAGAGACTGACAGTAATAAGATTAACAGTAATTATCTCTAAAGTTATGGGATTATGGGTAATTTTTATAGTCATCTTTAAATTATTCAAAATTTACTACAATGACTATGATATTTTTATAATAAAGGGGAAAACATCATTTTTAATATTTTAGTAAGTATATAAAAGCACCGGAAGCACAGAGAGGAGGGTGTAGAAGCAAAGACAAAATACCAGTATAGGCCAGCGGAGGATCACGCAAAACGAGCTCATTATGTACTACAGAAAGAGTATAGCATTATTTGCATGTCAGTATGTATAGAATTTCTTATACAAGATGGAGTCCTGGCAAATTTTCTTCGCTACACCAGAGAATGGTCACATGTCCCTGGATGCGTCAGTCACTCTCTTTGCCGCAGTGCTCTGTTCAACACCCCCTCCCTTTGCCTCCAGTATGTTCTCTCCCTTTCCCTCTGCAAAACATGCTACCAGCAGACATGTTCAACTTGGGAAAATGGCCCATCCTGAGGACTTTCTTTTAAGCTTTTTCATTCTTATTTTTCCTCCTTGATTGCTGCTGTTTTGTCATCTAACTAAAAATCGAATCTATTTATCTATCATTTTTCTTTTCCTCATGTTCAAGGGTCAATTTGAATTTCAGAGAAATAAACCCCCACTTCACTTGGTTTTTTTTTTTTTTTTTTCCATGTTTCTTGCAGAAACAGAGCTACAAAAGCATAGACATTTTCAGGAATGTTTCAGAAACAAACATAAAAGCTTTGTTGATAAGAATCTCTGCTATCTGTCTCACATCCCTTTTCAAAAAAAGAAGCACTGAGAACACTCTGTCTTTACTGTATAAATTGCTGTCCAAAAATACAAATGAATTTTTTCCAATGAAGGCACAATCATAATATTCATTATTACTTTTTCATGATTTTTTCATCCTAAAGCCAAATTTTAATGTTTCTCACTGAATACACGTTCATATCTCACATGAAGCAATCAGTCTGAACATTATTACAAACTGCCCTCTTCCTCATTTTTTTCTAGTACAGACATCCCGTCACACGACTTTCTTAATTTAAAAAATAAGGCATCGTATCCTTTCCTGCATTGCAAAATATTTTTCTTATGGTCTCCCAGCACTGAGAAAATAAACCAGGTTTCAGAACATCTTGAATCATAACCCATTTCATCACGTCAAATACAAATATCATAAAGCTGAGGTACAATTCTGAAAGCAATTTTCCAATTTAGTAACATCTTCATTAAATCTTATTTTAGGAAATATTTTACAAGAATCACAAGGGGGAAGTTTCTATATTTCCTCCTAGCAACTCCGTCATTTAAGAAACAAGCTTTAAACTAGAAAAATGACCAGGTGATATTTAGAATTTAATTAATCCATTTCCCAATGCTGCCGATTAGAATCAGGGATTCCTACACAGTTCTGCATTATTCTCTTCCATCAAAACATGTCACTTGCTTTAAAAATCTTAGTCTGGATATCTATTTTACAAAATATTTCTCAGCGACTTACCAGCGGCACGCTGTCTCCCCACCAGCTCTGAGGCTGTCTGTCGCACTGAAGGAGTGGGGGCAAACAGCAGCGCAACAGCCACTTGGAAATGAGATGTGCTCTGAAAAAGGGATTATCCCTATGGAAAGAAATGAAAGGCCTTGAGATTATCCTCAAGAATTCTCCAAAAACATGAAATCATACTAAACATTATATGCTAAAATGTGCATGCTCATCAAAGGGCAGATTTTAATAGCTAAACCTCCAATCCAAAACACACTGAAGTTGCCTTGATTTCCAGAGGAACCCCTACAAGACTATGAGCTTTTGGCTCTCCCGTCTCCTAGCAACAGTCCCATTAACTTTTTTTTTCCCCTGCAGTGGTCCTACTAGGCATCAGAGAACATTGACAAGGTCTAGTCTCTGAGGATGAACATTACCATTTTGTTGTTCAGTATGCGTTTTCCCCCAGGCAAGTAACAAGGAAAGTTAGAAATTCAAATAACAAAGTCCCCAGAAGAAGATTTCTGATTCAAATGACATTCCACAGTGAAAAGCAGAAATTTTTCTGGTCCCCTCACTTGGTACAATGCTGTCAGTCGAACCCTGTTCTAATATGAATCTGCTCAATGCTACCAAACTGTACAGTTAAAATCAAGTGGAAATTTTTTGTTACATATTTTTTCCTACAATAAAAAAGAGAGAAAGAACGATTCATTCATCCCACAAATGTGTCGTGCCACAAAGTGAGGTATTCCTGTATCACCACAGTCAAAATATGGTGCTGGGGACAGGGATTATAAAAGTGAATAAAAAATAGTCCATCCTCCCTTTAAAAGTTCATAATGTAATAATATGCGCAGGCTGCAAAAATAGAAGTATTTTGTCAAAGTTATTCTTCTTTTTTTCATCAGTTTTGGGTAACATTATCATTAGAGTTGTTACATGATCTGCCCCAAAATACTGGACTCCCAATGGGTGGAAGAAGTAAAGAAATACATACTTAATTGTAAAATATATAAACATATATTCGTATATCTCAACTGATCATGCACATTTATCTTTACGGTGTAGCTTTCAGAAAATTTTTACTTCTATTTTCACAAATGTATTCACTTCAGAAAAACTTTACAACATTACATCATGACATAAACTGCTTTTAAAACTAATTTAATTTTTGCCAGATAGGAAGTATGTGGCAATTCAGTTCAATATCTTATAATAAAAAAAGATCAGTACCTTTACTATGTATTTACTATAGGCCAGGCACTTTTCTAAGTACCAGGTGATGAACCTGAAAAGGCTGTTATCATCACGTTGCACAGATGAAGAAACTGAAGAGATAAAGTAATGGAACAAGGACACCAACCTTTCTTACCCAGAGCTCAAGCTCCTCATCACAACATCATTGAATCACAAACATCGGAGTTCTTCTAAATCACCTGGAGTGTTCATTTTTTTAAATGAGGACTAAAGGGGACCTGTTCCCAAGTATTCTCTTTTGGCAGGCTAGGGGCAAGCCCAGAAATCTGTATTTTTAACAAACGTCATCATTTGGTTCTGACCAGAAAACTTAAATAGAATCTTTATTATTGGTAATGTTATTGGAGAAGTAAATTCTAAAACTATGACACATACATACACACACACACACACACACACACACAACACGTGTGTATATTCTGCATGGTTAGAACAAAGGAGTAAATGCATTTTTTGTGTGTGTTTTTTTTTGGAACCAGAGTTCTCACTATAGGAGAAAGGAGATACAGATACGAATCTGAGAAAGTGAAGAGAATCCTAAAGAAACCTGTGGTGACAGATTTGAATTGGAAGTTTTAGTATGAACTCATGATTTCCTGAGACAAATCTTCCTAGGTCCGTCAACAGAAAGGAGGCAATGGCATCCCAGTAGCAATTAATATGATACGGCAGCTGCAATGAGTACATCTAATGCCCAGCTATTAGTTTCTAAATACTGTTACCTACTAAAAGAAACCAAGTTTTACTGGAAAAATAGCTGACGCTATATAAGGGGCAGGAAAAATACAAGTGAGATTGAAGTATCTTGTATTATGAGCCAAAAAGCGCTTGAAGAACGATGAGAACACATCAAAAAGACACAGGAGATGGCTTGAAAGGGCTCTCACTGGCTAAATCTGGTACAATTTGAACATCAAAAGGAATAATAATGGTCGTTGACTATAAAATATAGAATAAAAAAAATCCATGAGTCCACAGTGATAGTAAAAAACAAAAAGTGGTAATGGAGAGGGTAACTGCTTTGTTCCAGAAGAATAACAGAAAAGAAACTGCTTTTTTCTAAAAGAATATACACGTGTAAAGAATGACAGAATTTGTAACTGACCATTTAGAAG